GTACATACTTTTCTATACTCTATAAGTATAGGTTTGAGGAAAGTTGAAGGTTAGAAGGAAAGCTTGAGAATCGACCCTCTCAAGACTAGGTATGTCCACATATATTCTAGGGTATAATCCTTATTTCTTTAGTTTCTACTATTAAGACTTATTATGTATTTTCATTCAATGTAAAGGTTGTGTCTTTAAGTTGGCTTGTGACAAAGAGAATACTCTTTAGTATTTATAAAACATATTTCTTTGTTATTATTAATACCATGAAAAGTTTTAATTCCGCACTACTTTTCGTGTCTTATGTAACGAATGATAGAAAAAATGCTAGTACAAAGCCTCTAAAAGGTGAAGTATGCAACTGTTCCGACCCAACGGTTTCCCTATCTTCTAGGGGGTACGTTTGGGTTGTGACTTTGGGTGTCAACACTCACTACATCCAAACAACCGATATAAAAGAAAGTACAAGTGGAACCTTTTAGAAGCAAGGAGGCTCACCATAGCTAACTAAAACTGCATGTGGTATCAACGAAGCGCATGTTGATGCTCCTTAATACCTGTATATATATCATGAAATGATGCAGGCCAAATGACTTAATACATGGAATTTACCAGCATAAAAGGGAGTTCTAAAGCATAACATAAGCTTGCACTTGATAAAGAGGAAACATACTTACCTCTTCTCAACTCACTCAACTCAACTCAACTCAAGAATGAGAAACTCAACTCAAAGCTTATATACTCAAACTCAAAGATATGATATTCAACCCATGATAAAACAATAAAAAAGTGCGATTGTAGTCATTGAAATTTTTCGGGACTCTACAAGATGCGTTCAATTTGAGTTGGGACTCTAAAAATTGTGTTCAACTCAAACTAGGATTCTTGAAGGCTACTCAATCCTAAACCCTAGTTCACGCCTATATAAAGGGTACTAAATTCCTTTATATGGAATCTCAAAATATCACATAAACTATTGGGTATTTTTGAAGATCCAGATCTCAAATATTCCACAAATGGATGAAATATTCATATAGAGGTCAAATTAAACAATCCCAGATAGAGAAATAAGCCAGTACGACCCTCGAATCATGGATAAATCTTAAGAGAGTAGAATCAAGGGAGGAACAAAATTGTACCTGTAATATTGATGAATAAATTTATGTTTCTTTAGATTTTATTTGTAATTGTAATTTATTTTCTATCACTTTAAAATATGTGGCACACATCGATATATGGAAATCTATTAAAATAGTACAAAACAACTTAATGATTAAAAAATATAATAGTAACTCAATTTTTTTCTATATACCAAGATACAAGATAAAATCTGCTTTTATATGAAAATACGAACTAAACTCTGTGTATATAAGTATAAAAAATTATTTTGTGGGAGTATTGATAACCGACAACCATCACTATGAGCTATGAGATGATATAACTTCTCACCCACATTGCCTGAACTGTCCTATATTTTTCCAGGGTATAATGCCTACTCACTAAGTGGATCCACTAGTCTATGCTAAAAAGAATTAAGGAATCATCTAAAATGAATGACCCTTTTTATCGACGTTTGCTACATTGTTTATGGAGACTTGAGTTATATGAACTCGTCCCCATATTGATGCTCATTACTACTCTAGAAAATATACACAGCTCATATGCTTAAAAACATAACTCTTTTCTTGGTTTGAGATAATTACTAAAAAATCAATCTCTTGATAAAGATGATACTCAAACTACTCAAAAATCTTTTAGAAATCTTAGTTTCCTCTCGTCTTAAATGTAAAAACATTTACTCTTGGGAATACTTCGTTTGCATCTATCATTTTACAGAAAATGCACTAAACTCCTCTCTTTTCAAAAACATTTAAAAAATAATATGATAATATGATCATTGATGCCTAGAAAAGTCATACTGAATAAACATTGATGGTATATCTATATACCTTATTGCTCATACATGGTGGCATACTCGATTGTAATACTAATCATGTTTTATAAAACTTTATTATGAAAACTCATATTTACTTTCTCAAAGCTCAATTTTAGAACTTGAGTGTTGGCTTTAAAAGATTTTTAAACTTCATATCTCAAATTATAGGGTTCATGTTGAATTATGAACATAAAGGACTAAACTCAGGTATCTAAATATGTAACATCTCGTAACTCATAATAACCAAGAGTAAGATAAGAAACTAAAATATATCATGTTTTGGAAAGAATAGGAGAAATCTGGAAAATTTCCTAAGTGAAAAAGTGAGTTTTCAGTCATTTTGAAACGACCATAACTTCTAGCTCAGGATGAGTTCGAGTCAGCTCTTTATATGATTGGAAAACCCTTGGAGATATATTTCCAACCTCGTCGAGTTTGCATAGTTTTTGATATCGTATGAGGGGGATATGAATATCGGAAGTTGGGCTGTTGGATTGAAGAATGCCCCAATTCGAATTTTAGTAAGGGTAAAGTGGTCTTTTTACCCAACTATTTCCTAATTCATTTTAAAGGCTTATTAGCGGTAAAACTAATCCTTAAGTTAGTTTAGAAAAGTTATGCATGCTTAGGGGTTGTGGGAAAAGAGAAGAGAAGTAGGAGAAGGGAGAAATATCAAGAATGCTAAGATCTTCGAGTGGAATTCGTTGGGGGTGATTCTTATTAAGATATATGAGATATTTCAATGTTGGATTAGTTCACCCATACACCAAATTATTTAATTAGCAATTTTGATTAGATTGAATGATGAAATAATGGTTGAATTCTTGTTGGCTGAGTTGTAGTATGCTTTTAGTTGATTGGATTCGTTTTTCCGGGTTGTTTTTTTTTTTTCAGCCTAATCTATTGGGTGTTGAGATTATTAGTGATTTTAAGTTATTTGGGTGAGATCCATTTAAGTTTAGAGGGTTTAGAGATGAAAAATGGAGAAGAAAAGTCAAAATGCCCGTCTAACAGGCCCTGGGGCGCCTCGCCTACAAGAGCACCTCAGGTTAGTCTATGTTTATTAGGCTTTGGCACGCCGCACCAGCTAGAGACCCTCAGGACAGGCTTTTTCCGTCAGGCTCTAGCGCTCCACGCCTCTCACGACGCCAAAAACGCCTGGAGACCCCATTCTTCCCCCATCTTTTCATAATAGTTCCCAAGTGATGTAACCACCTTTCTTAGTTGATTCCAAGACTCTAAGGTACATTTAAATATCATAAAATCAACCATAAACATGAGTTCATGAACCTTGAACCCAAAATGCAAATCAAGTAAAGTAATATCAAAGTCAAGGAAGTTAAGAAGTCAAGTCTAAAGCTAAGAAGTAAGTTAAAGTAAAGTTCTTAAAGGTTTTTGAGAATCCTATTTAAACATTTTAACTTTGTTTTAAGACTCAAGTTTCAATCTAAGTAAACATTAAGTTGATGTTGTATTCTTCAAAGGTATAAGGGGACTAAGTATTCCCAAAGAGGCTTTAAATGTTTTAACATTTAAATAGCAAGGAAACTTTGATATCGAAAGAACCTTAGGGCTTCTTTTCACAAAAGAACTATAGCTTTCTAAAAAGGAGAAAGCAGGGAACTATGATTTTCAAGATAGCTTTGACCTAAATAATTTGTGCACTAATCTCAAAACCAAAGAACAACATGTTTCTAAAACATACGAGCCAACATATTTTTGGGAGTAGTATTGAACACCGATATGGGGGATAGTTCAGCTAACTCACAGCCCCCATAAACCCTGTAGCCACTATGGGTAGAAAAGGTTCATACTTTTTAGATGAACACTTTCATAGTAGACTAGTGGATCCATTAGGCAGTTAACTTCTTATACATTTGGACGGGTATAGGATGCGCTGGCAGCGTAAGGTAGATCAATGTATTATCACTGTAGCTCTTAAGTGATGGTTGTCGGTTAGAGAACTCCCACAGAAGTTATTGTATTCTTGTATACATCAGTTTACTTGTATTTTTACACACATACTAGAGTTAATTGTATCTTGCATAAATTCAGTGTTTACAACATGTTTTAGACAACTTCCTTTATATTGCACTTTCTTTTACATTGCATTATATTAAAATGAGTTAATTTATTCATGAGTTGAGCAGATCCAACGTAAGTGTTCCTTCTTACTCTTTTTCAAGATTAAGTGTTGTTAGAATTTCAACTTGTATACTCTTACATTCAATTAATGCATGCCTGTTGGCCTGCATCATATTATGTTGAAGACATATGTACTAGGATCAACATTCGGCGCACCGTTGATACAGTGAGTAACTCAGAGTTAGTTGGTGACCATTTCTTCATTCCGGAGGACATATTTAGCTTTTAGTTATTTGCCTTAGTACTACGTTGTTAGGATGATTAGATGTCATATCCTAACATCCATCTTTACTTTAGAGGCTTTAAAAACAGATGGTAGAATATTTCTTTCACTTGTAATTGACTAAGAAATTGTGTTGCCATTTTGTCTAATTACTTCTTTTACGTTATTTCCTTGAGTTATATCTTATGTTTAAGTCTTCTGCTGTTTTAAGTAAGTCAGGCAAATGGCTCTCTTAAGGCAAGAAATTGTCAGAGGGTTCTGACCACGTCAAGGATTTAGGCTCAGGATGTGACAAACTTGATATCCAAATGCTGAGTTAAAGAGTCCTAAAGAGTCTATGAAGCCGTGTCTTTAGAGTCTTAGCTATAGGTGTGTAGCGCGCCTATAACATTTAGGAATTTCTCACTTCTTTCATATTCCGTTTTGTGCCTTAGAGTTTATTTCTAAAAGTCCCTCTCTAATTCATGCTTGCGCATGCTTCAGATTACCATACCTCAATGAAGAGCATCAAGAGGTCACCCAACTAGTAGTAACATTGAACCTCAAGAATAGGAATTATCCAACGCTCCTGGAATGCAACCAAAAAGAGTAGTTACTAATGCTGAGTTCAGAGAGGACATTAGGATGCTGAGTCAAGGTGTGACTAACTAGGTTGGTCAACAAAGGGGATCTCGACAAAAATGGGTTGACACTTTGAGGATTCAGGAATTCTTGAGGATGAATCCGCAAAGTTTCACTGGTTCGAGCACTATTGAGGACCCATATAATATCACTGAGAAAATGAGAAAGGTGTACGAGGTGATGCATATTGCTGGAATTGAGATTGCTGAGCTAGCTTCTTATCAACTCAAGGGCCTTGATAGGCTTGGTTTGATTAGTGGAAGGAGGGTATATATGAACATGCACCACCTGCGAGTTGGGCTTGTTTTGAGGAGGCCTTCTTGATGAACTTTTTCCCTGAAAACTGGAAGAGGAAAAGGTACGTGAGTTCCTCACCTTTAAGCAGGACTTGAACAACGTGCACGAGTATGGGTTGAAATTCACCCAACTATATCGTTCTGCTCCAGATATGTTTAAGGACATGAGTTTGTTGTTGGATTGGGTCGCTCTTCAAGAAAAGAGGGCTGGGTTAAAATGTTTATTGGAGTCATGGACATTTCAAGTTTGATGATCTATGTACAACATGTAGAGGAGGAAAAATTAAGGGGCAAAGAGGAGTACAAAAACAAGAATCCCAAGACTGGGAATGAGTAATAGTAGAAGAAATGTGGTTTGAATCGACCACAATTTCATAAATAAAAGGGGCATGCATCATCATTTGCTAGTGCACATGCGCCTTGAGACAGTGTTGAGCATCATAGTCAGAAGTCTCGCGATAAGCCTATATGTTCATAGGGTAGTGTAGCGGATGGAGCTGGTAAGCCTTCTTCACATCGGTGTTTGTCGTGAGTCTCCACGGGTTGCTTCAAGTGTGATCTGACCGGGCGTTTCATGAAGGAGTTCCCAAAGAAAAAGCAATGCAATAGTTGTAGGGGAAACAGAGCTCAATCTTCATCATTTGCTCCACCAGACAGGGCAGCACCTAGGGGAACCACTTCTAGTGCTGACAGAGGAACAAACCGCTTGTATGCTCTCAACAATCGCCAAGAGCATGAGAATTCACAGTGGTCATCACTGGTATAATTCAATTCTTTATGAATTGTTAGACAAATGAACGAGTTTATCCTTTGTAACTCCCTATGTTGCCATGAACTTGAAAATTATTCCTGACCAATTTAGTGAACCATTTGGTGTTTCCACACCTGTTGGTGAATCCATTCTAGAAGAAAGAGTCTACCATGATTGTCCTATTTCTGTCAGTCACAAGAGTACCATGGTTGATTTAATTGAATTAGACATGGTAGACTTCAATGTCATTCTTGGTATTGACTGGCTTCATCCTTGTTATGCCTCAGTTGATTGTAGAACTTGAATAGTCAAGTTTCAGTCCCTAAATGATCAAGTCTTAGAGTGGGAAATCAGTTCAACAGTGCCTAAGAGTCGATTCATTTAATATCTTAAGGTGAGGAAGTTACTTTCTCAGGGGTGTGTCTATCACTTAGTCCGAGTAAATGAATCTGGTGATGAGATTACTCCTATTTAGTCAGTTCCAGTAGTGAAAATTTTTCCAGAAGTCTTCCCAGATGAACTCCCCGTAGTCCTTCCTGAAAGAGAGATAGACTTTGGCATATATCTTATGCAAGATACACATCCCATATCTATTCCGCCATATAGAATGGCATAAAAAGAGTTAAAGTTGTTGAAAGAACAATTGAAAGATCGTTAGATAAGGGTTTTATACAACAAAGTATTTTACATTGGGGCGCTCCGATCTTGTTTGTGAGAAAGAAGGATGGTTCCGTTAGGACTTGTATAGACTACCACTAGTTGAATAAGGTGTCCATCAAGAATAGGTATCATCTTCCAAGGATACATGATATTTTCGACCGGCTTCAGGGCGCTTCCTGCTTCTCAAAAACTGATCTCAGATTAGACTATCATAAGTGGAAAGTTAGGAATGTGATATTTCAAGGACAAATTTTAGAACCAGATATGGGCATTATGAGTTTTTGGTCATATCATTTGGTTTGACCAATGCACCTGCCGAATTCATTGATCTCATGAACAGTCTTCTAACCCTATTTAGATCTGTTTGTTATCGTCTTCATTGGTGACATAATAATATATTCAAGGAATGAGAAAGATCATGCTAATCACCTTAGGATAGTTCTTCATACTTTGAAGGATAAAGAGTTGTATTCCAAGTTCTCAAGTGAGAGTTTTGTCTTGAGTCTATGGCATTCTTGGGTCACATAGTTTCCGTTGATGGTATCATAGCTGATACCCAGAAAATTAAGGCAGTGCAGAATTTTCCTAGAATCACATATCCAACTAATAGTAGGATCTTCTTTGGTTTGGCTAGCTATTATAGAAGATTTTTTGAAGGTTTTCATTTTATTTCGTGTACTCTGACAAAGATGAATCAGGAAAAATTTTAGTTTTAATGGTCTTAAGCTTGTGAGAAAATCTTTCAGGAGTTGAAAAGAAGGTTTACTACTGCTTCGATTTTGACCTTACTAGAGGGTACTCAAGGTTTTATGGTCTAGAATGATGCGTCAAGAGTTGATTTAGGCTATGTGTTAATGTAGAATGACAAAGTTATAGCTTGTGCCTCCAGACAGTTTAAAATTCATGAGAAGAATTATCCAACCCATGACTTAGAGTTTGTTGCTATAGTTTTTTCCTTGAAGATATGGCGTCACTACTTATATGGCGTTCATGTTGACATATTCACTAATCATAGGAGCTTATAATATGTGTTCACCCAAAAAGAGCTCAATCTCAAATAAATGAGGCGTATAGAACTATTCAAGGATTATGACATAAGTATTATTTACTACCTAGGTAAGATAATGTGGTTGTTGATTCTTAAAACAACTAATCTGTGGGGAGTACCACCCATGTTAAGAAAGAAAAGAGGGATTTAGCCAAGGATGTGCACAAACTTGCTCTCCTAGGAATCAGACTTATGGATTCCACAAAAAGAAGAATTGTGGTGATCAATGGGGTTGAGTCATCATTAGTGTCAGAAGTGAATCAAAAGCAAGACTAAGACCCCATTTTTCTTGATTTAAAGGAAAAAGTTCATTAGCAAGGAGTGTCAGATTTTGAACAAGAAGGAGATGGCGTGTTGAAGTATAAAGGTAGATTGTGTGTACCTAGGGTGGATTGACTCAAAGAAAGGATCATGAAGTAGGCTCACAACACCAGATATTCCATTCATTCGGGTTCCACAAAGATGTACCACAACTTTATAGAGGTATATTGGTGGGAACGCATGAAGAAGGGCATTGTTGAGTTTGTTGCCAAATGCTAAAATTGCCAACGAGTGAAAGTAGAACACCAAAGTCCTGAAGGTTTGGTTTAGAATATAGAACTTTCTGAATGGAAGTGGAGATGATTAATATGGACCTCATCAAAGGCTTTCTAAAGTCTCAGAGACAATATGATTCAATTTGGTGATTGTCGATAAAATGACAAAATCCGCCCACTTTTTGCCGGTAAAAACCACTCATTCAGCGGATGATTATGCTATGTTGTACATTCAAGAAGTTTTAGGACTTCATGGAGTTCTTGTCTCCATTATTTAAGATAGAGGTGCACAATTTACTACTCAGTTCTGGAAGTCTTTCCAAAAAGGTTTAGGTTTAAATGTGAACTTAAGCAATGATTTTCATCTTCAGGTGAATGGACAAGAAGAGCGTACCATCCAGAATTTAGAAGACATGTTGAAATCTTTTGTGATCGATTTCAAAGGGAATTGGGATGATCACCTACCTCTCATTGAATTTGCTTACAGTAACAACTACCATTCGAGCATCCCAAATGAATCCATAAGAAGCTCTTTTTGGAAGAAGATGTAAATATCCTATTGGGTGGTTTAAAGTCGGTGAAGCATGGTTGATAGGACCAAATCTAGTTCACCAAGACATGGAGAAGCTGAAGGTTATTCAAGAAAGCCTGAAGACGGAACAGTCATTAGAAGTCCTACACAAATGTGAGAAGACCATAGGAGTTTGAAGTTGATGACTTGGTATATCTCAAAGTTTCACCAATGAAGGGTTTTATGAGATATGGTAATAAGGGGAAAGTTAGTCCTGGTATATTGGACCTTGTAGTGTATCCAATAGGATTGACAATGTTTTTTATGAGTTCGAGCTACCACAAGAGTTAGTAGTGGTTCATCCGGTATTTCATATCTCCATGTTGAAGAAATGCTTGAGTGATCCTTCATTAATTGTACCGACTGAGAATGTTGGGATTGAGGATAGCTTATCCAATGAAGAGATTTCGGTTCATATTTTAGATCGACAAGTTCACTAGTTGAGAATAAAGGAAGTTGCGTTAGTTAAGGTCCTTTGCAAAAACCAATTTGTTGAAGAAGCGACTTGTAAAGTTGAAGAGGATATGAAGAAGAAATATCCACATCTATTTGAATCCGTAGAGGATGAAGATCATGCTAATAATTCTCTTCTTAGTATTTTATGAACTATGACTAAGCATGATTGTTAATTGCTTTTAGGTTGTTAAGTGTTGAACTTGATATTACTATCCTTAGTATAGTGAAAGAATTCTTATTCGAGGATGAATGTTACCGAGGGGGAGGTATTGTAACATCTCATAACTCGTAATAGCCAAGAATAAGCTAAGAAACTAAATTTATCATTTTTTGAAAAAATAGAAGAAATCTAGAAAATTTCCCAAGTGTAAAAACTGAGTTTTTTTGACATTTGAAACGGCCATAAATTCTACCTTAGGATGAGTTAGAGCCAGTTATTTATATTGTTTGAAATCCCTTGGAGATATCTTTCCAACGCCGTCGAGTTTGTGCATTTTCGATATCATATGGGGAGATATGCCTATCAGAAGTTGGGCTATTGGATTGAGGAAGGCCGCAATCCGGATTTTAGTAAGGGTAAATTGGTCTTTTCACCGAAATATTTCCTAATTAATTTTAAAGGTTTATTAGGGGTAAATCTAATCCTTAAGTAAGTTTAGAAAAGTTATTCACGCTTAGGGCTTGAAAGAAAGAACAAGATTTCATAAAGAACGCTAAGATCTTCTAGTGGAATTATTCAGGGTGATCCCTATTAAGGTTAAATGGGATATTTTCGTGTTATGTTAGTTCAACAACACACCAACTTGTTTACTCAGTGATTTTGAGTATATTTATTGAGGAAAATTGAAGTTCTTGAAGAACAATGGTTGAATTCATGTTGGTTGAGTTTAGTACGCTTCTAGTTGACTAATTCATGTTTTTGAGTTTTTTTGAGTCTAATGTATTAGGTATTGAGGTTAATAGTGATCCTAAGTTTTTGGGGTGAGATATATGGAATTCTAGAGGGTTTAGAGATGAAAAATAGAGAAGAAAAGTTGAAACTCCCATTTGACTAGTCCTCGGGCGCCGCACAAACAAGATCCTCTCAGTACAATCTCTTTTCATTAGGCTCTGGCACACCACGCCAGCCAGAGCACCTCAGGACAACTCTGTCTATCAGGATCTAGTGCTCCACATCTCTCAGAGCACCGAGGACTCCTGGAGACTCCGTTTTTCCTCCATCGTTTCGTACTAGTTCTCAAGTGATATAACCACATTTCGTAGTTGTTTCCAACATTCTAAGGTACGTCTAAAACTCATAAAGTCATCCATAAACATGAGATCATAAATCTTTAATCCATAATTTAATTCAAGAAAAGTTAAGATCAAATTTAAGGAAGTAAAGAAGTCAAGTCTAAAGCTAAGAAGTAAGTTAAAGTAAAGTTCTTAATGGTTTTCATGGTTCCTATTTAAACATTTTAACTTTATTTTAATACTAATGTTTGAATCTAAGTAAAGAGTAAGTTGAAGTTCTATTCTTCAAAGGTATAAGAGGACTAAGTATTCCCAAAGAGATTTAAATTGTTTTAACATTTAATTTGTAAGGAAACTTTCATTTCCAAGGAGCCTTAGGGCAAGTTTTCAGAAACGAACTGTAGCTTTCTAAAAGGAGAAAACAGGGAACTATGATACCCAAGATAACTTTGAGCTAAGTATGTTGATCACTAAAAGCAAACCACAAGATCAACATATTTTTAAAACACCA